CAAACCTCAGGCACTTCAGCCGGGGGCTTCTGATGAGCAGGAAGTCGGATGGTAGGCATCTCTGCGGGGAAATGGGCAGAAACCGAATGGCAAAGCATGACTCGATATTAAAACTCAAAAACCTGATCTCTGATTGTTATGAGAATTTTGTAACATAATAATCATGAGACCTAGGGGGATAGCCTCGTAGGATGAAACCCACATCAAATAGGTTGTTGAGATAAATATGGCCAGCCTTCCAACATTTGTCCGCTGGTATTTCTTTGACCTTTTAAGAGAAGACTTGAGGGTAGTGAGTGGAAGTACTGATTTGGTCCAAAGGATCCCAAGGGACCAAGAGACACATTTTGCACATCTACAGCATAAGAAAAGGCAAGGACCTAAAGCATGTAAATGAACACGGAAAGCCACACCTGCCTTCCTGTTTCTAGGCAGCCGTTGCAAGGCCCTTCAGACCTTAAATGGGAGTGAACAGTGACAAATGCGTTTATGAACATCCTCATTTAAAACAAATGGTGCCACAGTTTCGGGGTTCTAAATTGAAAAGTTAGTAGCAAAAAGAGCGGCTCCAAAATCCATACTCTATGAAATCCACATAGCTCATGAGGAGAATGATAAAACTATAGATCATGGCCAATTATGCTTCAAAGGAAGGTTTTGAGCCCGCTGCATTCAGAAGTCCCTCTTGGAATAAAGGCATAAACAGAACATAATGTCATAGCTAAGTTGCCTCAGGCTGCCATATTTTTGTAAATAAGATTCATAAGACTAGAACACTGTAGGGGTGTCTGGGTGGCTCAGTTGGTTCAAGGTCTGACTCTTGATTTTGGCTCAAGTCATGATCCCAGGGTCATGGAATGGAGCTCCATGTCAGGCTTCCTGAGCTAAGCATGGAACCTGCTTGGGATTCTCTCTCTCTCTCTCTCTCTCTCTCTCTCCTCTCACCCCTGCTCATGTTCTCTCTCTCTCTAAAATAAAAAAATTAATATTTCAAAAATTAAATACCATAATCAGCAACTTTTTCATGAATAGTATCGTGATTACTAATGCTCAGATTCAAGAAATCTGAATTCTTCACCAGGCTGTAGGCTGTGAGTCTTTCAGAGAAAGAGACGATGGAACAAAGACACTCACTCCTACATCGTGGAGTGACATAATTTATGCTTTTTTTTTTTTTTTGAGAGAGAGAGAGAGAGCCACAAGCTCGACCTGAGCTGAAATCATGACTGGAGCTGAAATCGAGAGTTGGACACTCAACCCACAGAGCCACCCAGGGTCCCTATGATGACATTTGTATGATGTCCTATGTAGGACATCATCTAAGAGTGCTCCTGAAAGAGACTCTAATTTAAGTTTTTCTTCTCACTGTCACCTAGTATTCTCAGATAGCAAAAACATACACAAGGCAGTGGAGATCTGGGAATATGGATTTTTCTTCTCATTATGAAATGAACACTAATACCTATAGTGATGTGTGGATGTAGAAATAAGCCATTGCAAATCCTAAGGAAACACCGTTACCAATTCTTGTGCATGCCTTCACTCTCAAATCAGCAGGTATGGGATGGAGTCACTCACAATATTTTGACACGAGGCAGGAATTAAACGCCAAAATGAGTGTGCTTGTGGAAGCCTAACAAATGCTGTAAACTAAGAACGAAGCTGACTTGCTGCAAAGAAGGGCTCCTTTCACTGGTCTGTCGTGGCCTACCCAGGCCTCGTGGGCCACACACGGCTTTCTCCATAAATGTCTCTATAAATAATCAAGTGCGAGAAGCCCAAGACAAGCAGGTAAAGTCAACTTTTCAATTCTTCTTTTTGATATCTTCCCACCTGAAATCATTTTAAGTGGCCTCTTTGTCTTTTAAGTCATGAAACCTTATCTAATAATCACGTTAGTTAGCTAGGAGCTTCCTTCAAGCTACTCTGTAAGAATGAGGAAAATAAAATCAGAAAATACAGCTAAAATATAAAAATAGAAGAGTACAGTTGCCTGTGTCCACATTATCTCCAAGGGGAAAAGGTATGTGTAAAGGCGAGTTCTGATTCTGGTAAACTGATGAGTTCAACGTCTTCACGCACAATGTGAACAGCGAGAATGATACCTGGTATTTATGAAGAGCATAATATATGCCAACTGTTATTCTGTAACTTTTGTATGTAGGTGCTCATTTCATCCTCATTGTAACTCTGTGGTCGGGACCATCTTTACACCCATGAGATGATGAGACATGGTTTACTTGAGGTCACAAGGCAAGACAGTCTGGTTTCAAAGCCGATGCCCTCCTGTGCATGTGTGGATGGGCAGGCCTCTGGAGCCCTTCCTTACTGGTACAAAACTATTTTTAATGATTATTCTATTATTTTATTCTCTAAAACTGGGCAGCGGCAAGGGACCATCTTAAGAAATTACTGTTTCTCTTAGTAGGTTTTTTTAGACTATCTATGAATTATACAACCATAGCTTGATGGGTTCAAGGCCCAGAATCCATTTGGTGGAACATCCAAGGATCTAAAAATCTTTGCTCTGGGAGCATCCACATCTATAAACAAGCTTGCACTAGAACTCAGCATGAATTTGAGCCAGTCTGTGGAAAATGCAAGTAGGTAACGCAACCAGCCTTCATTTGGGCCACGCTTTGCTGCTCAGGCACATTGGCAGTGAAAGATCTGAAGGCATAAACTTGGCAACAATTTCAAAATATCCAGTTGGTCGTAGAATGTCAACATGCTCATTATGTACACTTGTTGGCCTGGGCTTCCCGCTGTCCATTCCCTGAGTCTCCAATCAAGAAGTAGTGATGGGAACACTGCTAACATGACGTGACTGGGGACAATACAGAGGGACGTGACCCGAGGTGATGAAGGGAACACTTATGGCTTCCTGACTATTCCCTCCCCTCCCTGCCACATACGTTGATGCGTATTACATCCCTGCCTTGGCAGTCACAGGCAGAGAAGCCCAGAGATACTTGGGAAGCTGCATCCATCAGCAGCACCAGTGGTGCACCCGAAACGCTGCCAGCTTGCACATTGACTCGTCCCCGCCGTCTGCATGCGCCACACCCCCTCACCCGCAGTTCCAGCTCTGCGTCCAGGGACCAGCAAGGCGTCTCCCCAGAGCCCCCACGCCTTTCCCAAAGACCTAGGGATGCAGGGCAGGAAATAAGAGAGTCATCAAGTTGGCATTTGCTCCACTAAGAGGGCAAAGCAGCAAAGAGAGGAAACTGGGACCGGGATCTAGAGGAAATAAACATTAAAAATCACCAAACTCTGTACGTTTGTGGTTGTCAAAGCCACCTTCTGGAGCAGGACAAGGACACCCACCCGTGGCCCCGTAACACAGAGGCTCAGGCCTGCCCTTGCGTGGCCACTTTGTTTCCTGTTCAGAACCATAGTTGACCCTGTATATAATGCCTGAGTTTACAGCAAATACATAGGCCCATAGCTGAATGAGACACTCATGTCCTACGTGGAAGGATTTCTCCAGTATTGTATCCATGGAGGAAGTCCATAACTTCCTATTTCAGTTTTTGACTGACCGAGGTGTTAGGAAATGTCTTACGATTTCTAAAAATAATTTCTCTTTGTTAAACAGGAAACACTGTCTGTCTCCTTCAGAAGGTATTCTGCACGCCCTGATCTAAATTTTGCACCTGAAATTCAGGGACAAGATGGCCTATTCAACACTAAAATCAAACTGCACATGATTTCATTTTTCTTTGAGACTGAGAAACTTATTTTGAGATCTCTCTGAACCTGGGGCATTTCATTATGATTTTAACTTGTATTGCATAAAAGAAGAGTAAACGTAGCAGCAGGCGCATGAGCCGAGAGCAGTAGACCAATAGGCAGTGTCTTTTCTGGCAGTTTGGGGAAAAGGTATTCCTAAAGCGTCTTTCATCGAAGGTGATTAAGCCAAAAGCAGGGAGAGTTTTCACTTAACCATTTAGCACGATTTACCCCGTCTACACTATAAAAATAGGAAACCAAGAACAAGGCGAACCCGAATTTTAAATCTCATGGTGGCAATCTGGGATAAGACAGGGTTTCTTTTAGGCTGATGAATGAGATTGTTTTTTCTCCTTAAACAAAAAATGATGCTTGTCTTTTAGGAGAGAGATAAAGGCAAAAGACACATAAAGTAATGAGCTTAAAATGGATTTTCACTTCTTAAAAAAAAAATGTGCCAGGTCAATGGGATTTCTGTAGGACCAATTATGTGAAAATTAGTTATAGATTAATAAAGAAACCAAAGAGATAAGGATATCACATTAATGGAAAAAGAATGATTAAGCTCCTGTCCTTTTTGATGTTTCTTCTGACAATTAATATTCCCGTTCTCATCAGGTGATACAAAACTCTAGGCAAATGTCGAAAGGAATAAAGCAGTAAAATATGTTTTGAGGGAAAGAAAGAGGGAAGGAGGAAAAGAAAGAAAGAAGAGAGACTGAATTGAGAAAGTAAAGAAGAAAAGTAGAAAAAGAGCTTCCGGGACCCTCATTAAGTATGGCATTAATTTTTTTCCCACCTAGTCTTCGTCTTGGCAAGCTTCCGCTCAAATGCAGGAATTTCATGGATGTGGGAACCGGTGATGGAAAATGCATTATTATACACAACGATCGTTGTACTTGAGAGGAACTATATGGAGAAAAAATAACACCCTAGAATAAATACAAATGAAATTCATGTATCAAAACCAATACTGTGAAAATAGTTTAAATGTTTCTTGAATTTATATCTAGTCATTAACCTAAATGCAGATTTTAGTTCAAGCTACACTTCTGCCTCATGGTCAGAAGGCCTGAAAACCCGTGGCGTGGAAAATTGGCAGGATAAAGAATATTGAATTGGTCTCCGTGGAAAAACAGGTTTTGGCAGCCATAACCTCCTCCTTCAGTGGGTCCCCCCAACCCAAGTCAAACTCGCGTCCCTCTTTCCTTGTCCCAGAAAAGAGACCAAGGGAAGGCCTTATATTAGCTAAGACAGCAAGCAGGTAGATGTCAACATGGCCGTTCGCCAAAGGACCTTCCTCACTGGCCTTGAACCTCATGGTCAGGGTGAGCCCCCCCACTGAGAGTCCCCGCTCTCAACTCACCCTCGGAGAGCACGGAGGCTAGATGTTTCCATTTCTACTGACTTTGCTTTCCTTCTTCCTTGGAGAAGAAAGAGAGTGAGGCATCCGCCTTACCCAGTGACCCTAGAAGAAACTGCAGTTCACAAATGAAAATGATAAATGTATTTGCAGAAATCCTTCACATCTGTCCCTCCCCTCCAATCCTACTCCTAACCTATTTTATTTTATTTCTTTTAATGTTTTATTTATTTCTAGGAGAGAAAGAGACAGCGTGAGCAGGGGAGGGTCAGAGAGAGAGGGAGTCACAGACTGAAACAGGCTCCAGGCTCCGAGCTGGCAGTCAGCACAGAGCCCGACGCGGGGCTCGAACCCACGAACCGCGAGATCATGACCTGAGCGAAAGTCGGACGCTCAACCGACTAAGCCCCCCAGGCGCCCCGAGAATACTCCTAACCTATTTTAATACACATCTAGTCTGCTTACCTCAAGGAAAGAAGACATTTCCCCAGAGTTTTATTTAGGCCGCAGGACAAAATGCAGGGACTTCTCCAAAATCACTCATCCACCTGGCAAGACCCTCCCGGCCCACCGCGACCCCGGGGCCCACCTCGCACTCTCCTGGGGCCACTCCTCCACCCAGGCTCCATTCAGCAGCCCAGTGTTGGTGGAGACTCTTCTTTCCAGCCTCCTTTCCAACCGCCCGCCCCACCCCAAGAGCCCACGGCTTCTGAGGGAATGTTCGCCAGGCTCCCTCCGGTGGGTTCCGGGCCCTTTGCATGAGCCAGGGGAGTGAGAGCTGCTCCCGCCGCGTCAATGTTGTATCCGTGTGCTGTGCCTCTCCTCGTGGTTCACCCTGATCTCTTCTCTCTTTGCAGCTGGTTAATAATCCACTAGCAAGTCAGGCTGCAGCCGCCATGGGCTCCGTAGCAAGCTCACAGGCCTTTGGCAATGCCCTCTCCAGTCTTCAGGGGGTCACGGGTCAACTAGTTACTAATGCACAAGGACAGGTGAGTGGGAGATGGGAACAAGAGTGAATTTTTATGGCAGATTGAACTCGGAAAGGAAATGAATTTCTTTTGCATGACAGTGATATGTAACCGCATCCATCCGAGGCAAATAAATAATGTTTACTAGCAACGTCGAGAACAGGAGAAGCCTTGGGAGGTGTTTCCAGATTTTAGAAGCAAGGTATTTTTTTTCCTTCCCCTAGAACGTCTTACGCTTTATTTTGTTTTTATTTCTGTGCAACGGCACTTGTTCTGACCTTCACTGAAGGAAATCCTTTTCATGGTGGGGCATTAAAAAAAAAAAAAAGAAAGATTTAAAAATAAAATTTCAGTTTTGCTCATCTATTTATTTATTCTTTTTGAATTTGGACAATGGGGGAAACTGGTAGTTTCCTTCCCTAGTTGAGCTCAGATTTCTAAACTAGTCCTGAGCAAGCCAATTTCTGAATGTATGAGGACCTGATGGAAAGGACTGGGCAGTCCTGTAGGAGAAACAAAGGAAAGCAGGTGAGAGCCTCTTGCTGATTCTCCGGGAAGCTTCTGGAAGTTTTTTGTATGCCTGCAGGTTTACTTCATTCCGCCAGGGCCATCGAACCTTCCTCATGTCATGGGCAGCGTGACAGTTCCCTTATACTACTCGTGGTCTCCGGGACACTGACAAAGCTTCAGATGAGGGCGGCTCCCCCTTTTAAGACCCCAGTCGCCCTAAAAGCTCCATGAAGAGCAAACCAGAGTTAAAGCTGAGAGTATCAGGAGTACCCTCCGTTCAAAGGCTTGACACAGACTCACAGTGGTTAGGGCGCCTTGACCTCAACTGTGGCCATTGCGGAGGACGGAGCACAAGGGAGAAGACGCTCGCATCCCCTCCAGGACGTTTCCCCCCAGAGCTATTTGCTCAGCAGTGAGTTTACGCACCCCTGCTTGGCCCGCTCTGCGGAGAACAGGAATTGCGGTATCTTGAACCCGGTTTTTATTTTACATAAAGAGTAAACAGAGATGCATTATAAGCTAAACCGTCTCGATCTGCGTCCCAGGGGGAAAAAGCTGACCTTGTTATATTTCCTGGGCGGGCGCAGGATTGTCCCGTCAGAACCCCGAGGGCTGAACGATGGAGCTTGTCAAAGAGCAGCCCCGGGTAATGAATCATCTTATCACAGGTGCACACCACACATATTAAAGGAGGGTTGTATGAACACCGTGCCCTCCACGGTCACCTTTCAATGTCGGCTTTAACCCTTGCTCCAATCCCTTTTCATCAAAGGATCATTTTATGCAGCCGGCTCTAAATGGAGGCTCTCAAAAGCCTATTAAGATTTCTGGAGGGACGGGTTTTTGGTGTGGAGGAAAAGTTGGTTATAATATCTATAACTCATACTCAGATCAGGTCGGTCCTGGAAGCTGCTTCCTAGAGTTATGCCCCAGACGGAACACCCCGTTTCATTCCTGCCAGGCAGCTGGCCCTCGAGATGTAAATTCTAAGAGGTCTAGATAGAAAGCGTATCTGCCGATGTGTACTTTCCCGATTTTTCTGATCCAGTGTCCAAGCAGCATGTACCAGTGAGCCCCACCACTTGAGAATTTGTGATGGAGAAACTGCTCTGTTGCTTAGAAGGAATTATTAGGAGGGTTTTCTTCTGGTGATTTAATGGCTGCTCATTTTGCCAGTTACAAATCCATCCCTTTCTCGGGGGCTAGATTCACAGTCTCTGCCGGCTCCCAGCCCAGGGGTAGCTCTTCTGGCCCAGGAGTTCCCACAGGAAACTTTCCATTAAAACCTTGATTCACACGCCGCATATGTAGAGTAAGACTTGATTTTATGTTAGCACTCTTCTGTTTTAGCAACTGTGCTGATAGTTGATTTGATCTGGTATAAATCTCCAAAAGCAGGAACAAAAAACCTACATCCACAGAGGAATCAATAATTGCCCACTCGTGATGTCTTGTCTGAGAGTTTTAGAAACATGCCCAACGGTACCATGTGTCAGAAAAGACCAAGGTACTCCCATTTCCAAAGTAGATGAATTGGCCATGTTGCCAGAGCACTGTGGGCTTTCTTGTAATGTTTATAATATAAACACAATCATCTTCCCAGGAAAAAATGTATGTCCTGTACCTCTTGATACAAAGATACTCGTGTGAGCCTTCTGAGGTGGCCAAAGTAGACCAAAAAAGGAGGGGACAAATTATTTGGGGGAGGTGTGCGCGCGCGCACACGTGCATGCACTCCTTTCGCTTGTATTAATGTGGTACAAAAAATAAGGCCTCTTTGGGATCAGGTTAATACAATTAGCCTTGCTCAAAAACCCGTGTAAACTAGAATCACTTTATCCAGCCCATTTTCAATCCCTTAAAAATCTCCACAGAGCTTTCCCAGGAAAAGGTACAAAGAGAACACTCTTAATATATTTATAGATTCTTTCATTTGAGGTCTTGACATCAACTATTTTTTACATTGAAAAGTTTGCCCAGAAGTAATAGCATTAAAATCTAAACCTATGTTTGAAAAGTATGTTTTACGCCACTGATGCTTTGGGGAGGTCAGGCTGTTGAGGTGGCACAAAATACCTTGATTCTTGCTTCCGGCTGCTAAGATTCTCTTGGTTACCTAGAAGCCAAGATGGGATTGGCCAGGAAAGAGCCCTTGCTGAATTCTAGATCTGCCTGAGATAGGGTTTTTGTTTTTTAATTTTTAATGTTTTATTTATTTCTGAGAGAGAGAGAGAGAGACAGCATGAGCAGGGGAGGGTCAGAGAGAGAGGGAGACACAGAATCTGAAACAGGCTCCAGGCTCTGAGCTGTCAGCACAGAGCCCGACGTAGGGCTTGAACCCACAAACTGTGAGGTCATGACCTGAGCCGAAGTCGGACGCTTAACCGACTGAGCCACCCAGGCGCCCCCTGAGATAGGGTTTAAGTTCCCCTTGCTTCTCATTTTGGACCTGGGGGCCATCAGTGACTTACCCTCCCTGAACTAGAGACTCCGCCTCAAAGCTCTCAGGCAGCCTCTGTGAGGGAGCCTGTGCCAAAGGCAATTCTAGGTCTTCCTACCGAGCAGGGAGGACGCCCACCCCACACAGGGGGACGTGCCCCAATCTCAAAAGGAAGAAAGCCCATCCCCCTGGGACTTGCAGTTTTGTTTCCCTGTCTTGGAATCTGATTGTTTCTGTTGACTAGATTTCAGTGCATTTGAAGGGATGGGAAATCTCCGTCTATTCAAGGTATTTTGTTTCCTGTTCTTCTATTTATTTATCTTAATTTTTAAAGTTTGCTTATTTATTTATTTTGAGAGAGAGAGTACACGAGCAGGGGAGGGGCAGAGAGGGAGAGTGTGTGAGAGAGAATCCCGAGCAGGCTCCACACTGTCCGCACAGAGCCCAACTCGGGGCTCAAACTCACAGACCATGAGATCATGGCCTGAGCTGAAGTCAAGAGTGACGCTTAACCGACTGAGCCACCCAAGTGCCCCTGCTTTTTTTAAAAAAAAAAACAGTGGTTATCATTTCATTCTCTTAGCTTCCTGACTCTGCCGTTCATTTGCAGTTAATACAGCAGCCGGACACTGTTCCAAAGAGTGATTAATTTTAACAGAAATTCTGCATTCTAAAGTCACAAAGCACATATCTTACCCAGGAATGTTCAAGTATTTTAAAATTATATCATACCCAGCTTCAGTCTGAGGGAGCAAGTTTCCTGTTGGTGATTGGCGATCATGAAATTTATCATGACCATCACAGTGCTGAGAAGAACATTCTAGGGCTCTTCGCTTACCAAATCAGGAATTCATGTGAGTGTGGAAGCCAGTCAATGGGGTGAGTATCAACTATACACTTGTTAGAATCCCAAGACAGCCAGTAACTAACTAGCTCTATGACCTTCAGCAAATTACTTGAGCTCTCTGAACTTCAGTTTCACTGTAAAATAACTATAGATATAAAAGCTGAGTCCCTAGATTATGAAGATTAGATGAGGTAAGGTGTGCAAAAAACCTACCATAGTGCGTGAGTATACAGCTAAAGACTCACATGAATAAGTGGCTGCAATAATTATCATCATCATCATCATCATCATGGGTTAGAGTCTTGGCCAGCATTTTCTGGAAACCTGTCTTTGGTTTGGATATATATATATAGCAAGAAGCAGTAGAGCACACAGGCAAGAAGAATGGGTTCTAGAACCAGACAGCCATTCATCGGCTGTTGGACCTCAGGCAATTGACTTACCCTCTCTCAGGCCTCAATTTTCTCATCTGAAACATAGGAATAAACATGGAAGCAGCTTTGAGGATTAAAGAGCTTAGCACGTAGTCAGGCACATAGTCATCATTCAATAATGCTAACACTCAGTATATGCTGTCTGTGGTTATTAGTCAAGTTGCTATGTGTTTGCCGTTCACAGTGTGTGTGTGTGTGTGTGTGTGTGTGTTCTTAACACTCATTCAGTGGGTATGTTCAGGATTTGGCAAGTAGATTTCCCATCGATTTGTTCAGCTCTAGAATTGGCTTCCCTTGTGCCCCTGGCAATATCTCCTTATTGGCATTATTGCAGAAAAGTAAAAGCAAATGAAATTTCATTTTATCCTGGGGCTAAGGAAAGCATTTTACATTTTAACTGAAGCTGAGAATGTTTCCTGATGAAATTAGTTCTTGACTGCTGTGAAATTTTCTTAAGTGGCAACAAGTCAAGCCAAAGTCCCTCCCTTCCTTCCTTAAAGAGCCAGTCAGGTAAAAATAAATTAAACAAACAAATAAATAAATAAACCAACAACATTACTTTGTCTAATGTATAGATAGAAGAAAAATTAAAAGAACTTGCCCAATCGATTCATTACCCGAGAATACACACAGCATTGTATGAATAAATAATGCCTGAGCAGAGAGCTTTCACAAGACAGAAGGATTTGCAGTAGGTAGGAGCTGCCTCCTCCCAGGACCACAGGCCATAATCGAAGAAAAGTGGTCTGCTGATGCAATCGTAGCCTATGCATCGCAGCATCAAAAGGAC